TCCGATAAGTGTCCTCCGCTTTGTAGAAGCTTGTCGTGTAAACCTCTGCAGAGAACAGGCATGGCCTTTTCTCCTGGTTGCATTTGGATTGTCGTGAGTTGTGCCATTAGTCGGCTCTGTGTCACGCTGTCAAGTTGCTTGGTAGACACTCTTCAGATGACAGAATGTCAGTTCAGCCGAGTTGCCGAAGTTGCCATATGTCCGGATGCTTTGCTGATCCGTTGCTATCAGGTTGCACAAGAGGATGGTGAAGGCCATCAGCGACTGATAAGTGGAGACTTTCTTCTCTTGAGAAGTCATATTTACAGGAAAAGGTTAGGAGCCGGTGAAGAAGCCGAGGATTTGCGTGCCATCCATCAAAATTTTAAATTCGAAGCTCGAGGCGAAGAAGTCCTTCCCGTTGAAAGGTGAGGATGTCTGTAGTTTCATAATATTGTTGAACTACTGTTGTATGGTGACGATGTCTGACTGCTTGTCAGCTGTCCTTGAGTCCACTGCCAACGCGGGAGTTGGCAGGAATGTGAACGAGCCTGGCGAGGGCTTGTACGGTTGATGCTGTATAGTCTGTGTGCCTCTTGCGTACGATGCGCCGTCGAGACTCATGGGGACTGCCCCACTGTTGGTGTTGCTGTGTGCTGATTGAGCAGGTGCCAAGACCTGCTCGTGGGTTGACATGAAGGAGAAGAATTTCTCCATCGGGTTTATGCCCGTGGAGGAGGCCACTTGTTGCATGGAGGCTCCTGCAACTGCGACTGCCTCAGTCTGTAGTCCAGAGACTGAGGGTACAGAGGGGGATCCAGTAGAGGATCTATCGCCCTTAGATGCCGCCATGTCTTGTAATCTTGAATTGATAATCTGAAGTTGATGCAAGCGAATCTTCAAAGATTTAAAAACTTACTGAGGGAGTTTGTACCAGGAGCGTAGCTTTTGAATAGCTCTCATACCATGTTGGGTTGAGGATAGCCCTAGGATCTTTTCAGAATGCTAAGTCCTTGTAACAGAGTGCTTCATAGCACTGCGGAAGTCTTGACTTGAACCCTTGTACAGGTGTGTGAGAACAAGTGATTGATAATAGCAAAGAGATACAAGGTTCACATAATAATACAAGAGAATATGACAAGTCTAACAGTTTTGCTCTTCGAGGGGAACATTTGTCAAACTGAAAGAATGACTAGAATGTGAGAGTACAAGGGTACAGCGAGGTGTCTATAGAGGACGGAAAGAACTGCACGTCACCAAGGGTAGCACGCGATGTGCCGTGCCACTCACGGGGCGCCTGTCGCAAGCCGTAGACTGGGCACCGCAGTAGCCACTGGGTCCTAGGAGGGAAGGCACCAGTGAAGCCCTGAGGGCGGCACAGGTAGACCTGCTCGTGTAGGCTGCCCTGAAGAAACGCAGTGGAAAAGTCGAGGGAGTCTAACTCGTAGTCACGTTGTGCTGCTACGTGTAGGGAAGGGAAGAACTGCAAGTCAGCAAGTGTAGTACGCAGCGTGTCATGCCACTCACAGGGCACCTGTCGCAAGCCGTAGACGGGGCTCCAGAGGAGCCACTAGGTGCCAGGGGGGAAGGTACCAGAGAAGCCCTTGGGACGGCATAAGTAGACTTGCTCGTATAGACTGCCCTGGAGGAAAGCTGTGGAGAAGTCGAGGGAGTGCAGCTCGTAGTCACGCTGTGCTGCTACGTGTAGTAGCGCCCGAAGAGTGGTCATCTTCGGGGTCAGGGCGAAGGTCTGAAAGAAGTCCACCCCCTTACGCTGACTGAAGTATCTAACCACGTAGCGCGCCTTCAACACAGGTGGCTCTCCAGGGGGGCGCTTCACCTTGAAGAGCCACCGGCCATCAACTACGTTCACCCCAGGTGGGGGAACTACATCGACGTAGGTGCCGGTGGATCTCCAAGATGCCATATCCTTCTCCATGGCAGCTATCCACTGAGAGGCCCAGGGTCCCGAGGTGGCCTCAGCAGAGGTGCGAGGGTTCGGGATGTCGAAAGCGTCTGGGTCACCCTCAGGGACTAGCAGCATGGAACAGAGATGGGGAGCAGCCTCGGACAGGAAAGCAAGCTCGTACTGTCGGTCCTCCAGGACGTCACTGCCGAGGGCAGTGCCGAGGGCAGGAGCACCCCCAACGGACGGAGGACGAGCAGGGTCAGAGACCAGAGTAGTGGCGTAGTCCAGGCGGCGGGTAGAGGCAAGGTCAGCGACCGCAGCGACAAGAGCATCAAGACGCGAAGCAGGAACAGATGGATCAGTAACGAGAGAGGCAAGGAGCTGAGGAACAAGAGGATGAGCTGCACGAAGGTAGTCAGACAGAAGGGGAGGCGCGACAACAAGGGAGGATGGAGGAGGCGACGGCAGGAGGAGAACGCGGAGGAAGACGAGCCGGAGACGAGTCCGGAGGAGGGAACACGGGGCCGTAGACAGGAAGGGGAGCAGACGGTGGAGGAGGCATAGATGCGCGGTCAGGGGACGGAAGGCCGAGTAGGCGAAGGGCTGACACCGGTGGCGACTGCTGCTGCGGCGGCACGACGGCGACACCGGGACCGCCAGCTGCCCCACGGCCAACTTCGGAACACTCCACTCTAGCACCCCCATAACCAAGAACCTCTCCAGTACCGGTACCACCCCCAAGCCTGCCGGGACAAGCCACGACAGGAACCCCAGGACGAGCACCCTCATCAACGCCAGCACTACCAGGGTCGACAAAATGCTGCTGCTATAGCTGCGACGACGGCTGCGGCGACTGCGGCTGTGACGATGGCTGCGGCGGCGGCTGCGACGACGGGTGCTGCAACGACGGAGGAGGAGACACTAGGGGAGGGGCGGGCAGCGAGGACTGCGCCACACGGCCTTTAGAGTCAGCAGACTCCTCGACCGGGACAGCCGACGGGAGGGGGGTGACGTTTGACACACCAGACAAGGCAAGGCGGGAAGGGGGAGGAGCAGGGGCGAGCCGGGGAGGGGGAACCAGGAACAGAGGGGGAGTAACCAGGGGACCACGGTGAGGAAAGCGGTGGTAGAATGAGACGGACTTGTCAAAGGTGGCGTCGCGAGAGCGCAAGAAACGGTGAGACGGCGGGTGGTAGAAGTGCCAGTCAGACGAGGCGAGGGGGAAACCCAGGAAGACACAGGGGACGGTGCGGGCAGTGAGCTTGTCCATGCCAGAGGCACGAATGTGAGCAAGGCAGCCCCAGACGTGGAACGCAGACGCGTCACCTAGGGACCCGGTCCAAAGAAGGGTCGTTGAAACTTGCGGCTGCTAGGGGTGCGGCCACAGGTTAAACTGGTGAGCGGCGTAGCGAACGGCGAATGGCCACAGAAAATGGGGTGCACCGGCATGGATCATGGAGGTACGAGCCACCTCCATGACCAAGCTGATGCGTCGCTCAGCGACCCCATTCTGCTATGGGGAGTCAGGCAAGGTGAACGTTTGGGTGATGCCCTCCGCACGACAGAAACGACCAAGAACGCCGGAGGCAAACTCGCCACCACGGTCGGAGTGAAGACGCAAGACAGGGAAACAGCGGTGCACACGCGTAGAGACTAGCCACGGGATAAGAGCGTCAGGCACGTCGGCCTTCCTCTCTTGGGGAAAAACAGTGGTGTAGCGCGTGTAGTCGTCGACAAGCACGAGAAAGTAGCGCTCTCGACGCGGCCCATGGACGGGGGCAGGGCCCCAGACGTCCATGTGCAGGGTCTGTAGCGGTGCGGCGGTGGGGGGGAACAAGGGGGGAACACGGCGCAGCCGGCCCTTGATGCAGGGCGTGCACGGCGGCGCTGGGGAGGAGGGCAACTCAGTGAACGACTCGTGGAGACCTAGGACAAGACTGTGCTGAGACATGTGACGTAGACGCGGGAGCGCGGGGTGACCTAGACGGTGGTGCCACAGAAGTTTCGGTTGAGTAAGCGACCAACACGAGCAGGCCGCAGCAACCTGGGTAGACGCAGCCACTTGGGGAGACGTCCCAACCGGGGGGGGCACAGTGTCTAGCGTGAACAGGCCAGACATCGGGTCCCGGGGGAACGTGGTGAGGGGAGCACCAGTGGCGGCCTCGGTACAGACAGCGTACCGCTCGTGACCAGGAAACGTAGTGGTGACGCCAAGGTCCTGGAGGCAGCCGACACCAACTAGATTCCTAGAGAACGATGGATGTGCAGGCCTGTAAGAGAGCCCGAAGGAACCTCCGGACAGGGAAGGGTGGTGGAGCTACGGGCGACTACCGGACCTGAGGAGGGGTCGGCAAGGAAACAGCGGCGGGAGCGGCAAGCAGCGTCAGCGTAGTGGTGTTGCGAAAGAAACACTGGAAAGAAACACTGCGGGGCCGCTAGGGAACGGGGCCGCGGAGCCGCTGGTCGACGGAGCCGAGGGGCCGCTAGTGGACGGGGCCGCGGGGCTGCTAGGGGACGGGGCCGCAGGGCCGCTAGTCGACGGGGCCGAGGGGCCGCTAGGGGCCGGGGCCGCGGGGCCGCTAGGGGACGGGGCCGCGAAGCCGCTGGTCGACGGGGCCGAGGGGCCGCTAGGGGACGAGGTCGCAGGGCCGCTGGTCGGCGGGGCCGAGGGGCTGCTAGAGGACGGGGCCGCGTGGCCACTAGGAGACGGCTAGGACCTACGGCGGAAGCGCTGGTGGGCGAAGCGGACCTAACCTACTCATGATACCATGTCAAACTGAAAGAATGACTAGAATGTGAGAGTACAAGGCATTATAACCTAGGGGGCTGTACTCTCTAAGGCACAAACAGCCCTATATGGTCTACCACATCACACACAAATGTGTTTGACAACATTCCCTTTTACGAATCGATAAATGTGGTCTACTCTTGACTCCTCTGCTTCTAACTGTTGGGTTGCGCAGTCAACAGTCTGCGACCGTTGCCCTTTCATAACCTCTGCAGGGTGTCGTCAACCCACGTCAACTGTCGGTGGCCCTGTAGCAATGTTGACTCGGTAATCCCCGTTGTTGTGATCTTCGCGTATTCGTACACTCACGCGAGACTCCGGAAACGTCTTGAAGTCCTTTTATCATTTCCAACAGGTAGTACCTTGCTGTAAATTCTTAGGAACATCATTGAACACTAAGGAGCTATGTGGTATGCACTGTTCAAGCAATGCATTCCAGTCCGGTTGTCTCGATAAGGGTAGTCAAGTCGGCCCAGTCGTCTCCACTCTGCACTTAGCAAACTCCGACAGGACGCTGTCCCTTAAGTACTTGCTGCCCTCGTGCACCACATGCCCCAGCCCCCCCCCCCTTTCACACCACCGGCCCCCTCCCAGCGTCCTCTAGAATCTGCACTTACGCAAACACGGACATAATGCCGTTTCGTCAACTACTTGTTGTCCTGCACCACATTCACCCCCTTTCCCCTCCCTTCCCTGTGGTCCAGAGCGGCCTCAAACACCCTGTGGTTATCGTCTCACTCACCCCCCCACCACCGGCCCCCTCCCAGCGTCCTCTAGAATTTGCACTTCAGCAAACACCGACATGACGCCATTCTTGAAATACTTGCTGTCGTCCTGCACCACATCGGCCCACGGCCGCCCCAAAATGTTGCTGTAGCCCCAGTTGCTCGCATTGCGCCCAAACCCCTTGGTCACGCGGTCCCTCAGGTAGTCAAACTGGCCCTCTGGCCACCGCTTGGCATAGAAGATAAAGCTCACCTGCAGTAAAAGAGAGAGAAGGGGGGGGGGAAGAGACGGAGTGAAGAGGTGGGGTGACAGGTTGCCAGATCGAATAGAGGGAGGCGAATGGGGTATTACCTGGAGTAGAAAATGTTCTTCCCGCGTTAGACACATGCACCTGCACATCTATCCCAGGCACTGCCTGTACCTACCTGTGTCTTGGGCTGCAAGCTGTGGCTGTCCTCTAGATGAAGGTGAATGCCCAGAGTGCCGTCGTCTCACCTGCCATGCCTAAACACACACAGCTGCACTGTGCTTCACACAACGCCTTGGTTCAACCTTACCACAACCTCGGGCAGCACGCTGCGGCAGCACACCTTAAGAGTCTCCGTGCCAACACCCCTCGCTGCCATACTGAACCAGACAGTAAAGGGTGCATGTAACACACTGGCTACGGTACCTGTTTCTCGGGCTGCACGCTGTGGCTGTTCTCCAAGTGCAGGTGAATGTCAAGAGTCCCCGTGCCATCACCTCACCTCCCATGCCAGGCCAAAGGGGAGTACACGGTGTGCGTATCAGCCGCTACGAGCAAACCCTACCTGTATCTCGGGCTGCATGCTGTGGCTGTTCTCCAAGTGCAGGTGAATGTCAAGAGTCCCCGTGCCATCACCTTACCTCCCATGCCAGGCCAAAGGGGAGTACACAGTGTGCGTATCAGCCGCTACGAGCAAACCCTACCTGTATCTCGGGCTGCACGCTGTGGCTGTTCTCCAAGTGCAGGTGAATGTCAAGAGTCCCCGTGCCATCACCTCACCTCCCATGCCAGGCCAAAGGGGAGTACACAGTGTGCGTATCAGCCGCTACGAGCAAACCCTACCTGTATCTCGGGCTGCACGCTGTGGCTGTTCTCCAAGTGCAGGTGAATGTCAAGAGTCTCAGTGCCATCGTCTCTCCTGCCGTGCCGAGCTGACAGGTAGAACCGCTTCCCACCGATTCCAAACGTGGCTGATTCCACTGTCGCTGCCACTGCTAGCGCCTGGGAGAAAGGGAAGGGGGGACGAAGGGGGGACGAAGGGGGGACGAAGGGGGGACGAAGGGGGACGAAGGGGGGACGAAGGGGGGACGAAGGGGGGACGAAGGGGGACGAAGGGGGACGAAGGGGGACGAAGGGGGGACGAAGGGGGGACGAAGGGGGGACGAAGGGGGGACGAAGGGGGGACGAAGGGGGGACGAAGGGGGGACGAAGGGGGGACGAAGGGGGGACGAAGGGGGGACGAAGGGGGGACGAAGGGGGGACGAAGGGGGGACGAAGGGGGGACGAAGGGGGACGAAGGGGGAAGCGGTTGATGCCTGAGTCTGTTCCATCTCTCTCCTGCCGTGGCGAGCCGAGAGACAAAACCGCTTCCCACCGATCCCAAACGTGGCTGATTCCACTGTCGCTGCCACTGCCAGCGCCTGCGAGAAAGGGAGGGGAGGAGAGGACGGGAAGGGGAGGGAGGGGAGGGGACGGAGGGGAGGGGAGGACGGAAAGAAGAGGGAGGGGAGGGGAGGGAGGGGTGGGGAGGACGGGAAGGGGAGGGAGCGGAGGAGAGGGAGGGGAGGGGATGACGTGAAGAGGAGGGAGCGGAGGGGAGGGAAGAGGAGGGACAAAAGCAAAGGGGGGGGGGGCAGGGGCGGGGGCGGGGGGGGGGGGGGCGGGTTCCTCAAGTCCATCCATCCGAACCGAGTCAGATTCATCCATGGCGGCAGCTAGTGTGGAGGAAGGTAACAAGGAGAACCCACCTGAAACCAACATAGAACCCACCTGAAACCAACATAGAACCCACCTGAAACCTCTCCAGGTGAATGTCGAAATACACATGCCCCACAGAGTTTCGGTTCCACCGCCGCTGCCAGAACCGCCTGTGCGTGGCGGCCGTCTCGTTCATGAGCCTCAGTCGCCTCACAAGGCTGTACGCGCGAAACCACGCTGCTTCGCGTACCTACACGGACGGGCGGGGGGGGTGGTTGGGGGGGTTTGAGGGGGTAGAAAGGGAACCAGAACTGGCTGTGCGTCGCAGCCGTCCCGTTCACGAGCCTTAGCCTTCGGACCAGACTGCATGCCCGAAAACATGTTGCCTCCCTCGCCTACATACAGGTGAAAGACAGAGAGGGGAAGGAGAGTCAGGAGGCGATGCGGCTGAGCTGGAGCGGGTTCCACCGCCGCCCCCAGGTGACTTTTGAGTCGACTCAAAAGTCACCTCGTTACCATGTCACACGCCGCCAGAACCTGTGAACCGCAGCCTCGTGAACCGCACAGCCCTCTCGTTCGTCGACCGTAATCTGCCACGCACTGATTTTGAAATTTTATAGAAATAGAACACATCTGCGCACCAAGCTGTAGCCCCGAACCGAAACCAGGCTGCTTCATGCAAGACGAAGAGACAAGAGAGGAAGGGGGATACCGGGGGGGGGGGGGGGTGTTGGTGGGGTTGGGGGGGAGGAGGGGAATATGGGGTGGGGAAGGGAGAGGGTTCCACCGTTGCTGCCAGAAGTGCCTGTGGGGAAGGAAGAGGATTGCCATCTCGCTCCTGCATGAGCCTCAGCCTGCGTACCAAGCTGTATGCGTTGCGTGTACCTACTTCAGGGAGGAGGGGATGGAGGAGGGGGTGGAGAGGGATGGAGAGGGATGGAGAGGGATGGAGCGGAAGAAACAGGGGGGGTGGGGGGGGTGGGGGAGGGGGGACAGGAGGCATCAGTCAGTGCATGGCAGCTGTCTCGCTTATCAGCCATAGTCGGCAGCACAACAGGCAGAATTCGAGAAACCAGCATATACCAACCAACCAATCACAGACCATACCACGCACGTATGAGCTGACTTTTGAGTCGACTCAAAAATACCACGCACGTACGGATCACATATATCATATCAAGCACATATCGACCTCACAGCTTGTGCAGTATGAGTCCGGCTGGCTGCACGGTGCAATCACTGCCTCGCCAACTCATTCCCTCACCAGCGCCTGGCACTAGGGGCTGTCAATCTCTGTTGCTTTCAGCACAGCTTTGCGACAAGGTCATCATGGCCCACTACAGCCACACTAGAAAAGTCTGCTGAACAATCATGCGTCACTTTCTCCTTCCTTACCAACAATGTCTGTCACTCACTCGATGCTTTCAGCACCACCACGTCCTCGAGAGGGCACAATCTTCCATTACAGTCACAACACCTTTCATTCACTACGAGAACACTCTTGCTTATCAGCTTCTTACCAGCGCCTGGCACTCGGGGCTGTCCATCTCAGCCACCTTGAGCACCACGTCATCGAGATCATCCCCTCACCTGACCCTAGAGCCGGGTAATCTAGACCACAAAGACACCATGCCCTTACCAAACTGTTTCCTTACCAGCGCCTGGCACTCGGGGCTGTCCATCTCTGCCGCCTTGAGCACCACATCCTCGAGGTCATCCCCTGTCATGAGAGGAAATCGCACGTGCTCCGCCAGGCGCACTGCCGCTCGCCTGGAGGTGGGGTAGAGGGGGCAGCTATTTGCAATCGACGGCGCACCACGTCGTCCAGCAGGTCGCCACCTGTCATGAGGGGAAAACGAACATGCTCCGCCAGGTGCACCGCTGCTCGCCTGGAGAGGGGAGGGCATCAAGGGAAGCATCAGTAATGTGGCATTAGGGGGAAGCGCAGCGCACATCCTCCACTCCGCCAGGTGCACTGCCACTCGCCTGGAGGTGGGGGGTGGACAGGGCAGTCTGAGGGAAACGCCAGTTAAATCAGCACCCCGCCCTCAGAGCACCACCAGCCTTTAGTCTGCTCTTGAGTCGACTAAAAAAGCAGGACTGCAAGTGCTCCGCCAGCCGCACTGCTGCTCCGCTGTGCGGCAGAGCGGACAGCGAGGGAAACATTGGTACTGGAGTATGACAGAACACCAACCAGGGTCACTCACTTCCTGTCGTCCAGGTCGTCGTGCTGGTGGTGGTGGTGGTGATGGTGGTGGTGGTGTGTCAGCCACTCCACCACGGCATGGAGAGGGGGGGAAAGGAAGGGCCGCAGAGGCCAGAAGGGCGATGGAGAGAGCAGGAGGAGAGGGGGGGGGAGGGGGGGGGGGGGGGGGGTGGAGGAGACCACTCACTTGCTGTCGTCCAGGTCGTGGTGGTGGTGGTGTCTCAGCCACTCCACCACGGCATGGAGAAAGGGAGAGCGGAGAGGGCCATTGGGGGCATACGGGGCATAAAATATCTGGGGAGCCATCATAGGGCCAGGCTACGCGCTTCCTGTCATCCAAATCGTCGTGGTGGTGCCTGAGCCACTCCACCACGGCATGGAACGCCGTCAGCTCGCCCCTCACATTCAGCTCGTCACTCACCAGCGGCAAGAGAGGCAGATAGAGAGTGTGAGTGGGAGAGTGAGAGAGAGGAGGGAGGGAGGCACAGTCCACGCACTTCCTGTCATCCAGATCGTCGTGGTGGTGCCTGAGCCACTCCACCATGGCATGGAACGCCGTCAGCTCGTCCCTCACATTCAGCTCGTCGCTCGCCAGCAGCGTCTGCACGCCCACGAGAGGCAGCTCCAAAAACTCCTCCCCCTTGTGCACCCGCTCCAGATCCCTAAAATGCGCCACCAGAAACCCCCTGGAAGCTTCCAGCAGCTGCGCCACCCCCCGGTGCGAGTGCATGGAGTCGGGGAGCGAGAGGTAGAGGCAGGCGGTGGGGACGGTCATGGGGAGGTTGACGAGGCGCTCGAGGCAGATCTTCATGCAGGAGGCGACCCCGAACTTGTCGGCCACCAGGTACATCTTGATAATATCTTCTGGATCCGTGCTGCCCTCCTGCATGTCGCCCGTGTAGATAAAGCGTAGGAGATCGATCACTGGGCCCTCCTCTGGTGGGAAACAACAGTAGAGAGAAAGAGAGAGAAAGAGAGAGAAATGGTGGGCAACGGGCGCATGCGGGAGAGGGGTACGAGGAGTATGAGTCTAGCTGGGGTCCGTGCTTCCGTCCTGCATGTCGCCTGTGTAGAGCAACCACAGGAGATCAGTCACTGGCACCTCCTCTGTGCGCAACAGATGATGAGCGGGATGAAGAGTGGAGAGAGATGGGGTGGGTGGGGAGAGGTAAGCAGTGCGAGACTAGTTGACTATTGAGCCGACTCAAAGCCTCCTCTGCGGGCAATGGATGAAGAGAGGGATGAAGAGTGAGAGAGATGGGGTGGAGAGGGAGAGGGAAGCAGGGCGAGATTACCACAACAGGGTATGCAGTCTTTACTTGACGCATTAACCTCTGGTAACGCATCGCCTGTTTGCAACGCGTTACCTTCTGGAGAAACATTGAGCACCACGGGGTTGTTCTGGCACGTCTCCTTGAAGCCGCAGGTGAAGAGCGTGTGAAGGATTGATCATAGCACCCTACAATTGGGGTAACACACATACCTTCTGGGGACACGTTGAGCACCACGGGGTTGTTCTGGCACGTCTCCTTGAAGCCGCAGGTGAAGAGTGTGCGGAAGAAAGCAGACTTGGCTGCCAGCACCACCGATGACAGATGCAGATTCACCACTCTGAACCCCCCACAACTCCCTATCGTCACACCGCCACCACCACCGCCGCCCAGAAACGCACTGCCGCCCAGATTTGCACCTCCACTGCCGTTTCCTCCCATGCCACACCCGCCACATGCGCCTGTCCCCAGCCCAGGCCCTCCCGATGGCTTTTGGCTTGACTCGAACGGTGAGAGCCCCGACCCCCCCAAACTGCCGAACCTGGGTGCTCTGCCCATTACTCCCCCGAACCCACCACCAACACCAGCAGCAACAGCATCAGCAGCAACAACAGCTGCAGCGGCAGCAGCGGCTGCAGCGGCAGCAGCAGTAGCAGCACCACCACCAGCACCGGCCGCAGGAGCAGCAGAAGTGGCAGCAGCACCAGCAGCAGCGGCAGCAGCAGCAGGAGGAGCAACAGCAGCGCCAGCAGCACCACTGCTGGTGGTGAAGGGGCTCTGGGGTCGGCTGCCGAGGCTAGCTCCTCCTGCCGAGCCTCTTGTCAGAGCAGCCGCTTGGTCCGGTCCCAAACCTGCTGGCAGCGGTACGGCTGGTTAGTGCGCAATTGAAGGTAGGGAGCGGGTAGGGAGGGTTAGGGAGCAAAGAACCAGGAGAGAGGGAAGGAGAGGGGGGGGGGGCGGGGATGGGAGCAGGAAAGTGAACGGCTGCAAGAAACAAAAAGGAAAGGTAATAATGGATGACGACCTTTAACTGTTCACTAAACGCACCTGGACTATTCAGAGCAGCCAGAAACGACAACTCTCCGCTCGCTCCTCTACCCCCGCGCCCGCCAACCAAAAACCTCCCCCCCTGCGCCTCCCCGTTCCGCCTCCCCCCTTCCCCCTCCCCATCCGCGCCCGCGCCCCCTCCGCCTTCCCCTCCCCCCCTTCCACCGCCATATCCATCAAATCTAAGCAGTCGCTTCCGCCCCCCTCCCGCTCCATCCCCCCCGCACCTCCCCCGATAGAAGAACATCTCTTTCCTAGATTCCCGGCGGCAGACGCGGCGGCTACGGCGGCGGCGGCGGCGGAGGGGGAGAGGGGGCTTCCGCCGCCGCGGGATGGGGAGCCGCCGGAAGCTGCGCCGAAGCTTCCGCTGCTGCTGGAGCGGCGGGGGGTGGTGGCTTCGTCAGGGCAAATCCGAAGCTGCACGATGCGATCTGCGGGGACCACAATCGAACAAATGGGCAATTGACACGAGGCATGGTTAGCTAGCCGGCGGTAGGAACGGTGGACGTTTTAAGGCTCCAGTGAACCCCGAATGCATCAACAAAAGACGAAAGGCACTTAATTCCGCGCGTCACATCCGTTACAATTGTAAAGCCGCGTCGCCTTTCAGCTGTTTAGGTTCCCAACCTTAACTGAGACTGAAAAAGGACGCTGGAACAACCCCACATGGAAACTGCTAGGCACGTCATCCCGCAATTAGGGTTACTGAGGGGAATCGGTGGCTTCCGTTGGTATCGATGGCTCACACGCACGAGAGTCTTCGAAAGTGACCTATGTAACGCACACCCCATTCTAAGGCACTGTTCATGCTACTAGAGTAGAACACTGTTCATGCCGGCACCCTTCGCTCTGTTAAACTACCTGGGGATGTGACTGTACCTTCGGATGCGACTATAACGAACCGGCGAAATCGGCGTTGTTGAAGGCGAACCCGAAGTCGAAGCGCTTGGGGTCTTCGCCCATGTCGTCGCCATTCTCTCGCGAAGGCATCGCGACTGTCGCCACGGCCGTCGACGCCACGCCAGCTGCCTCGCACCCCGACATGGTTACACCTCGACCAACCCGCGAGCTATAACAGCAAGTACGGCAGAAATGAACAGGCTAATAGGCTATAACCGTACTTATGATACTAAAAGACTACCAATAGGCTACCAGAGACCCGACTAATCTACCGTTCTCTTTTTTAATGAGGCTTAATTACCGGTGTAGCTCAGAGATGGATATTTAGCATCTACTATATACGACGTCGTAGGAGGAAGACGGATTTCATAATCATTCCCCTTTTGTAACAAAGAGGGAGGAGGGGTCTGTCAGAGACACACGGACCCTGATGGTGCTGCTAAGACGTCGGGTGAATTGAGCGACGCGGTCGTGGACTCGTGGAGTGGTTCTCCTGCTTTGTTGGTCTAGCGGCCTAGTTCCTACTGTGTCTTTCTCTGTGTTCCTACAAAAGCTGAACTCGGAAGTCAACCTTGTAAGTCACAACCGCTCATGCTAAGGGCGGGTCCAAATACTTCACAATCTATTTATTTCGAGAAAAGTAACCCGAGTTTTACCTCGCTTTTTTCGCCAGGACAGGTGCGCGAATTTACCGTAACTCGGGACGCTCGATGTATGTGAATGTACACACCCCAGTCAAGGCCCGTTTACGATACGAGTGACGGTAGGTGTACTTTGGCGGGTGACAGGTGTGGCGCTTTGGAGTTTCGCCAAGCCGGGCTGGGCGAGAACAAGACGACCTCGCGAACAGCTCGTGTGGCGCACGGCAAATCGCACCTGCCACCCAACCCAGCACGAACCATCCGATTGGTGAGTTGCGACATGTGGTAACTACGATTTGGGGTATCTGGAACGTACCGTTAATTTTGCGACACACCCAGTCGGCGCCAAGTTTCTATTTTCATTCGCAATATGGGACGCGGTTGGGGGGAGAAACGATTTTGAGACCGTATTCAGATTTCGTACCCGAGTTCGTAAAAACGTGTCAAAAAATCCAATTGAACTATTTGGACCCGCCCTGAAGTTTTTTGGAACTCTGTTTCTACCGGATTCCCCACCACCCTGCACCCTGATTCGTCCGGATTTCAGGGTAGTTGGTTTCTGTTTCATGCGGATTCGAGTACAGGTCATATGCCTTGTAGACGACCCCTTTTACGCCCAGGAGTATTCCATAGGCAATTTATCCTTAAAGCGAATGGTCAAAATACTGAAGGCGGGTCCAATTTGAAAGGGCCCATAAGTTCGTCGTAGCGACTAAGGGACAAACTGGTTGGGGCAGAGGGGTTCACTGTCGAGACATGCAAGCAGGGGAAACTGCGCGAGCATGAGCAGTTACTTGATTGGTTGGCGAGAAACCCCGTTTCGTTTGGTGGGAAAAGTGGCATGAGCAGCACTTGGCGCGAACAAACTCAAGTCGCAAATAGTGCGCGACCAGTCGCACAGTCCCCACTGCCCGAAAGTTGAACCAAGTGGGCCGAACTTGAATTTCAAGTTGGACCCGGGTGTCAAATGTAACTTAGGTTGTTACTGTAGACTATACTGGATTGTGCCTTAAAACCACAGGCTAAAATAGCAAAGGGGGGCTTCAAGTGCGCCCCCCTTGAACAGCGGGCATAGATAAACATTTTGAGAAACCAGCAAGTTGTTCTGAAAACGAATTTGATTCGGGGGGGCAGAAATGAACCGAGGCTGGCACACGACAACCACTTTTGTGCGAATGCGATACGTTATAAACCAGGCGCGCGACTCCTCAGCGACATCTTGTCGCATGTGTTCAGGGCTCTTACAAAAAGAGACAACTCACGAAACGCAATAAGGGAAAGGTGTCACATTTTGCAACTTCGGACTTAAGGAACACACGAGCTCCCACCACGCCGACACAATTGCAAGGAAACAAAGGCTGCGCACTCCCTCATCATACAAGGCCAGGGAACACGCCCCGAACTCAGAAGAATAACCTTGCCTCCCTGCTCACACAAGAGGAAACAAATATCCCCAACTCTCGACCGACACAGTCCATTCACGGGTAGATTTCCCGCAACGGAACTACTCACCTGCCTTCCCTAGCCACAATCTTCAACCAGCTTTCGAAAGGGCGAGACTAACCCCGCCACCAATAGCAGTAACCGTCGAGTAACGCGATACCGAGTAAGGGAATGTAGCAACCACCTCTGCCCCATAGAAACGCCCCACCAAGAGTGCGAGAAACCCCCGACGAAAGTTGGGTATCCGTGAGAGAGTAAAGCCAATCACTGGCTGCACCACCAGTGGAGAACGCTAAGGAGCAACCCCCTCCCTCCTAGGCTTGGAAAGCATCTAGAGACGCACGCGTGACGGGGTCGAGCGCAGGTCCCCATTCGCCACAGCAGTAAACAGGCACGCCTTCCAGCGCGGAGTACGGGGGACGGATGGAGGCCGACGGGCGTGGCACGCGAGAGGAAGCGCGACCCAAAAGCACCCATCCTGGGCAGACAATGTAAGACACGGGGTGGGAGGGGGATGGGAGGGCAAAAGGGGCGAGGCCAAGGCTGAGTAATCAGAACATGAGCTAGTGTGAGGGCAAGGCTGCGCGAAAAAACTGGGAGAGGGAGGTACGCAGCGAAGGACCAGGGGGGGGAGGTAGATACGAAGCGAGGGAGACGGGGAGGGAGGGAGGTATGCAGCGAAGGACCAGGGAGGGAGGGAGATACGAAGTGAGGGAGACGGGGAGGGAGGGAGGTATGCAGCGAAGGACCAGGGGGAGGAGGGAGATACGAAGTGAGGGAGACAGGGAGGGAGGGAGGTATGCAGCGAAGGACCAGGGGGAGGAGGGAGATACGAAGTGAGGGAGACGGGGAGGGAGGGAGGTATGCCACGAAGGACCGGGGGGGGAGATACGAAGTGAGGGAGACGGGGAGGGAGGGAGGTATGCAGCGAAGGACCAGGGGGAGGAGGGAGATACGAAGTGAGGGAGACAGGGAGGGAGGGAGGTATGCAGCAAAGGACCAGGGGAGGAGGGAGATACGAAGTGAGGGAGACGGGGAGGGAGGGAGGTATGCCACGAAGGACCAGGGGGGAGGGGGGAGATACGAAGTGAGGGAGACGGGGAGGAGGGAGGTATGCAGCGAAGGACCAGGGGGAGGAGATACGAAGTGAGGGAGACGGGGAGGGAGGGAGGTTTGCAGCGAAGGACCAGGGGGAAGAAAG